TCCAAAGCTGCCATTTGTTGGGGAACGTAGTAATTCCAAAAAAATTCCTACGCACACACAGGATCATGGTGATGCATAGCAACGAGAGGGGAGAGTGTGTCAACGTACCCTCGTAGACCGAATGCGAAAGCGTTAGCACAAAGCGGTTGATGTAGTCGTACGTCTTCACGATCCTACCGATCCAAGTACCGAACGCACGACACCTCTGAGTTCTGCACACGTTCAACTCGATGATGTCCCGCGAGCTCCGGTCCAGCAAAGCTTCACAGAAGAGTTTCGTCAATACGATGGCATGGTGACGGTGATGATGATGCTACCGACGGGGCTTCGCCTAAGCACCGCTACGATATGATCAAGGTGGATTATGGTGGAGGGGGGCACCGCACACGGCTAAGAGATCAATGATCAATTGTTGTGTCTATGGGGTGCCCCTACCCCCGTATATAAAGGAGCAAGGGGGAGGAGGCAGCCGGCCAGGGAGAGGCGTGCCAAGAGGGGGAGTCCTACTCCTACTAGGAGTAGGACTCCTCCTTTCCCTAGTAGGAGTAGGAGAGGGGGAAGGAAAGGGAGAGGAGGAGAAGGAAAGAGGGGCTCGGCCCCCCTTGCCCTAAACCAATTCGGTTTGGGCCTTGGGGGGGCATGCCCCACACTCCCCTTGCTGCCCTCTATTTCTATTAAGGCCCATGTAGGCCCATTAAGCCCCTCGAGGGGTTCCGGTAACCCCCCCGGTACTCCGGTATATGTCCGAAACCTTCCGGAACCTTTTCGGTGTCTGAACATAGTCGTCCAATATATCGATCTTTACGTCTCGACCATTTCGAGACTCCTCGTCATGCCCGTGATCATATCCGGGACTCCGAACTACCTTCGGTACATCAAAACACAAAAACTCATAATACTAATCGTCACCGAACTTTAAGCGTGCGGACCCTACGGGTTCGAGAACTATGTAGACATGACCGAGACATGTCTCCGGTCAATAACCAATAGTGGAACCTGGATGCTCATATTGGCTCCCACATATTCTACGAAGATCTTTATCGGTCAAACCGCATAACAACATACGTTGTTCCCTTTGTCATCGCTATGTTACTTGCCCGAGATTCGATCGTCGGTATCTCAGTACCTAGTTCAATTTCGTTACCGACAAGTCTCTTTACTCGTTCTATAATACATCATCCCGCAACTAACTCATTAGTTACAATGCTTGCAAGGCTTATAGTGCTGTGCATTACCGAGTGGGCCTAGAGATACCTCTCCGACGATTGGAGCGACAAATCCTAATTTCGAAATACGCCAACTCAACAAGTACCTTCGGAGACACCTGTAGAGCACCTTTGTAATCACCCAGTTACGTTGTGATGTTTGGTAGCACACAAAGTGTTCCTCCGGTAAATGGGAGTTGCATAATCTCATAGTCATAGGAACATGTATAAGTCATGAGGAAAGCAATAGTAACATACTAAACGATCAAGTGCTAAGCTAACGAAATGGCTCAAGTCAATCACATCATTCTCCTAATGATGTGATCCGGTTAATTAAATGACAACTCATGTCTATGGCTAGAAAACATAACCATCTTTGATCAACGAGCTAGTCAAGTAGAGGCATACTAGTGACACTCCGTTTGTCTATGTATTCACACATGTATCATGTTTCTAATTAATACAATTCTAGCATGAATAATAAACGTTTATCATGATATAAGGAAATAAATAATAACTTTATTATTGCCTCTAGGGCATATTTCCTTCACCATTTTATGCAAGGCTTTCAAAGAGAGATTAGGCATTGTCAACAACACAGGCAACCCATTAATGCTGCATCAACTGATTCATCCATCCAATGATCTACAAGATTTAGAAAGTCCATTCACCAAGGAAGAAATTGATGCAATTATCAAACAAATGCCTAGTGAAAAATCACCTGGACCAGATGGCTTTAATGCATCTTTCCTCAAATATTGTTGGGACATTATAGTTCCAGACTTCTACAAATTATTAATGATTTCTGTGCTGGCAAGGTCAATATCCAGAGCATCAACTACTCCTACATCACACTGATACCCAAGATCAACTCTGCAGACTCTGCTAGTGCATTTAGGCCCATTTCTTTGCTTAATTGCACTGTCAAAATCCTCACAAAACTTCTTGCCAACAGATTGCAAAAGGTCATGCCCAAATTGATTCACACAAATCAATATGGCTTCCTTAATAATAGATGCCTCCGGGACTGCTTGGCATGGTCATATGAATATATACATCAATGTCATCACTCTAGAAAGGAGATTATTCTATTGAAGTTGGATTTTGAAAAGGCAATTGATATGCTCAACCATGATACTATATTTGAGATCTTAGCAACATATGGATTTGGATACAAATGGATTCAATGGATTAAGCAGATTTATAGCACTGGTTTTTCTTCTGTCCTCCTTAATGGGATGCCTGGAAAACAATTCCTTTGCTGAAAAGGAGTCAGGCAGGGAGATCCATTATATCCCCTCATATTTGTTTTGGCAGCAGATATTCTACAAACCATGATGAATGAGGCCATGCATAACGCTCTCATTACTTCACCTCTACATCATACATCTTGCCCAAAATTCCCAATCATTAAATATGCTGATGACACCATTCTTGCACTGCCAGCTGAGCTTACCCAACTGCTCCATGTCAAAAACTTGCTACTTCATTTTGCAGCTTACACTGGTCTCAAAGTTAATTACTCAAAATCAACAATGATTGCTATCAATACACTTGAACACAAGATGTTGGAGTTGTCTACCCTCCTTGGTTGTTAAATTGGGAGTCTGTCAATGAAATATCTGGGGCTACCACTGTCTATCAGCAAGCTCAGAGTAGAAGATTACTTCCCCCTTCTGAAGAGAATTGACACTAGACTGCAGGGCTGCTCCACCATGTTATCCATTGGAGACAAACTTACATTGGTTAAGTTAGTTTTCTCCAGCATGCCCATTTTCTATATGAGCACTCTCACTATTCCACAAACTATCGTTCTGCAAATCAACAAATACCTGAAGAACTGCTTCTGGAGGAAATTTGGAACTGAAGCAAAGGGGCAACCCATGATTGCATGGGACAAAGTATGCAAACCAAAAAGTCATGGGGGTCTGGGAATTATTGATATTGCTACACACAACAAGGCACTTCTCATGAAATTCCTTCACAAGTTTCTGAATAGAGAGGATACACCATGGGTGAAAATCATCTGGGAAGCATACTACACCACATGACTGCCAGGGGGCAGAATGGTGGGATCATTCTGGTGGAAATCTATCTTGAAGCTATTGCCAATCTACAAGGACAATGCCCTATGCCAACCTGGTGTTGGTGATACCATCTATCCATGGTCTAACAACTGGAAGCAGGGCAAGATGAAAGATCTATACCCTGAACTTTTTTCTTTTGCAATCAATAAAGATACCGCCCTTCAGCAAGTTTTTTAGAACGAAGACCCAGCATCCATGTACCACAGACCACTTACTGTGGAAGCACATAGGCAATTTGAACACATGCACGTTATGATTTAGGGCATACCCAAGAGTAACCAGTAAGACAAATGGGTTTACACATGGAACACAAGTGCCTACTCCTCGATGAAGATGTATAAATGCCTAGTGGGGCCATCCACATGTCACCATTTACTGAAATCTCTGTGGAAAACTACGGCCATGCTTAGGCACAAGATATTCCTACGACTCCTTCTTTATGACAGAATCAACACAATGAATCTTTTGAAAAGGAAAAGTATGCATCTTCAATCCTATAACTGTGTACTATGTAGTGATCAAGTGGATGAGACTGCTCTACATCTATTTTGGGATTGCCCATTTGCTCTCAGCTGCTGGGATGTTATTGTCAATGATAAAAAGAGAGGCACATCCACCTTTGATGAGATTTGTATGACTATAAATGAACTTCATCATGTTATTGTCAATGATAAAAAGAGAGGCACATCCACCTTTGATGAGATTTGTATGACTATAAATGAATTTCCTCGCGGGATTGCACTAGATATCATATTGGCAAGCAGTTGGGGCATTTGGTGTGTGCGCAATGACAAGATCTTCAGACAAGCTGCTGCTCATATCCAAGGCTGGAAGTACCACATGCGGGAAGGACTGATCAGAGCTCAATACAGAGCTAAAATGTCCAAGGCCAACAAGATTCAGAGCCGGATAGATAGTTTTCTTTAATTTTATGCTATATGATGTTTCCTAGAGCTGGTATTGGTTGAACTTCTGCTTGCTAGCCTTGTTGTAAATAACTTTTTTTATATTAATGAAAATACCATAGAATGATTGTTCTATGGTCAGCAAGTCAAAAAAAAATCGCATGCAACTTTCCTCATACCTAATTTGTGCAAAGTCCTAGAGAGACTAATTCCTCATGAATTAGCAAATTTGGCCAAGGGCCCTTGTAATAATTTTTTCGTTGAGCCTCCTAGCGAGCTCATCCCTCTCTTATTAAGTGATGTAATGCTGGTTGAATCGTAAATAAAGAGAGGGATATTTTTTTGTTATAGAAAAAGCTTGCATGCAGGATTAGAAAAAAGCAAAAAGCAGAGGTGCCATCTACGAACGGAGCCCCTGCCAGCCGTTCATGGTTTACATCATCCCCTGGTTGTGTGCTACTGAGATGTGTCCATCGTTTTTTCTTCTTCCAAATTCCTTCGGAATGTCATTTGCTATAGCACCATCTTCAACCATTCGTGGCCAATACCAGTTTACACCCGTTTCATACGCAGATCATCATCTGTAAAAGATAAACTGATTCTAGCAGAGTTTCTGCGCTCCTGCACATTATTAAACAGCTAGACACTCCTTGCACTCTGTACATTATTATCCCAAGTCACAACATCAGATGCAAAGTTTTCACACTACTCTTTCTTTAGCTGTAGACAGCCTAGACTATAAGCTCCTGTCACCAGCTGAGAAGAAAGGCCATTACATGGACTCATCACTTAACTTTCAACAGTCACAACTCAAGCTTGCTCGCTAGGTACCACGAGTGCATGGCCAGGCTGCCGAATGCCATGATGTTTGCCAGGGACGACAGCCCGTGGATCATCCCGAACTTCTTGTTCATCGCTGCGAGTGCAGGGTTTGTCTTTGCCAACTCGGCATTCCTTGACCGTCCCACCTCACCACCGATGCCAAGATCCTTCTCGATCTTGTGCCTCTTCATCATCATCTGCGCAAGACAAGCAAAGTTGCTACTGTGAATCAACAGCTGCATACAGCATAGGTTCTTCTGAGCTCATGGCAAGGATCCAGTCCCCCTGAACGGTTACTACTTTAAACCACACACTATAGCTGTTTCCAGCAACCAGTATGATTCGCAGGCCGTATAACATATACTACACACCCACAAAAAAAAAACATATACTACACAACCAAGTCCGTGTCACCATGTATTATGATTCTCTGTACGAGAACAGCATCGCCTACGAGGCTGCGAAGGCCTACCATGTTTTTTTGCGGGGTAACCACCATGTTACTTTTGTTCACTACCGATGATATTATTACAAACACTAACAGAAATCCGGATGTGCCTGTGATTTCTGTACGGAACTGTTAATCCAAGACCGTGTGTCATCACAGATGTACCAATATTTTATGACATTAAACAACATATGACTATAAAATGAAACTTCACTAATCGTCGCAATTGACTAATGAGTACGTAAAGGACTGACCTCGATAGTCATGGGGGTGAAGACCAGAAGGTTGGACAGGTCAAAACCGAGGGCAGCAAGAAGGAAACCAAGCTGGTAACGCTCAACAGTTGATGCTGTCTTCCATGGGTTGAGGTATGCAAATGCTGCAACCGATATAGCTGAACACACCGATATCAACATGAAGTATGCTGGGAACATCTTCCCCTGCAGACTCCCGAACTGGTGCCTTGGCAAATGCCTTCATTATCCAGGAGATTAGATCAAAACAATAGCAATTGCTTATGATTGCAGGTCTCACAACAATGAAGGCACAGAGTTCAACAATCCAGCAAACGATATAGCATTCTAAGTGCATCTAATGTATTGCTCTGACAATGCATCTTACGGATCAAGTAAACAACCCAACTTTCTTGTAAAAGCTGAATAGCATTGGCGCTTTCAAAATTCAGATGTTCTAGTAGTAAAGGGTAACCACAGTCGTTACAGGCTTGTGGCTAATGCTTCATAGGAGATCTACATCTCTCTAGATACTGAACAATCAAATGTCTTCAGTTTACAAGCTGTGTATGTTCCTTCCGTTGGATTAAATATCTTTGGATGTTCTGCTAATAGTTTTTGTGCTAGCAAGCATGCATAAATGGATGATATTGTAAAAACATAAGTTGTAGAAGGTGAGATGAATTGCTGAGAAGGTATGGGTCCTATCTCAAAATTTGTGTTGCCTGTCCCAAAGAAATTGCATTTGAGCATAGTGGAAACCTACCAAATGCAACGGGAGGCACCCAAAACTGCCTAAATTCTGAAGCTATTTACAAATGGGGAACATGTAAGATGTAAGTACCGAGTAAACGCAATAATAATGAAGGCAATGAAAGCCTAGATGAATTCCCACACACGCGAAGCTAAGAAATTTAACTGAGACGGCGCAAACTTTTTTACTTGAACATGACGATGCCGCCGATGAAGGTGACCCAGAGCGCGGCCCCCCATGCGGTGGCGAAGCAGAGTACATGGGCCAGCCTCGCCGCCGCGACGCCGGCGGCTGGGCGGCCGGGGGCGCCGCCGAAGAGCGCGTCCGGCGCGAAGAGGACGCCCAAGGCGAGGAATGAGACCGCAGTCAGGAACCGCGCGGCCCATCCCATAATGTCTCGCCGCTTCTTCCGGCTGGCTCAACGGGCTAGGGTTTGGAGGCGCCGGAAGGAAGAGGAACGATGGACCGTCTACAGTCGACTTGGCAAATCCCGTGCCTCAAATACCCACAGACGCGTTTCGGATTTATCCGCGGACATTCACCGGACACGTCTTAAATTTCTCTTCACACAATCGAACACCTCAATTAGCACACATTAAATTCATACAAACTCATGCAATATGTATTATATTAGAACATGTCATCGGACAACCAAAAATTGGCATGTTTACCTATGTATACTAGCTATGAAGAAATCATCCACAACTGCCCTTACCCTTCTAGGCGCCCTTGTCGTTCTTCTCACGGAAGTAACGGTCCAAGACGCAGTACAAATCGAGTTGGATCTGCTTGTTGCCTGAGCTGTCTGACCTGGGGTTGTCCTGTTGGGGAAGGTAGCATGCAATTTCAAAAAAAAATACGATTACGCAAGATCTATCTAGGAGATGCATGGCAACCAGAGGAGGAGAGTGTGTCCACGTACCCTCGTAGACCGAAAGCAGAAGCATTAGGTAAACGCGGTTGATGTAGTCGAACGTCTACACGATCCAACCGATCTAGTACCGAACGTTCGACACCTCCGAGTTCAGCACACGTTCAGCTCGATGACGTCCCCCGAACTCTTGATCCAGCAGAGGGTCGAGGGGAATTCTGTCAGCATGGCGGCGTGGTGACGGTGATGGTGATGTGATCCGCGCAGGACTTCGCCTAAGCACAACAACGCTATGACCGGAGGAGTAAACCGTGGAGTGGGGCACCGCACACGGCTAAGAGAACAATTGATGTGCCTTTGGGGTCCCCCCACCCCCGTATATAAAGGAGAGGAGGAGAAGGTGGCCGGCCAGGAGGGGGCGCGCCAAGGGGGGAGTCCTACTATGACTCCTAGTCCTAGTAGGATTCGCCCCCTTCTTTTCCTTCTCTTGGAGGTGGAAAGGGGGAAGGAGAGGGAGTAGGAGAAGGAAGGGGGGTGGCGCCCCCTTCCCTAAAACAATTCGGCCTCCTCCCTTGTGGGGTAGCACCAACCCCTTGTGGGCTGGTTAGCCTCCCTCCTATGGCCTATATGGCCCATATATTCTTCCGGGGGTTCCGGTAACCCCTCGGTACTCCGGTAAAATACCTGAAACACTCGAAATCATTTCGATGTCCGAATACTAGAATACTACCTTTCAATACATGAATCGTTACCTCTCGACCATTTTGAGACTCCTCGTTATGTCCGTGATCTCATCCGGGACTCCGAACAAACTTCGGTCACCAAAACATATAACTCATAATACAAATCGTCATTGAATGTTAAGCGTGCGGACTCTACGGGTTCGAGAACTATGTAGACATAACCGAGACACATCTCCGGTCAATAACCAATAGCGAAACCCGGATGCTCATATTGGTTCCTACATATTCTACGAAGATCTTTATCGGTCAAACTGCAATAACAACATACGTTATTCCCTTTGTCATCGGTATGTTACTTGCCCGAGATTCGATCGTCGGTATCATCATACCTAGTTCAATCTCATTACCGACAAGTCTCTTTACTCGTTCCATAATACATCATCCCGCAACTAACTCATTATTCACATTGCTTGCAAGGCTTATAGTGATGTGCATTACCGAGAGGGCCTAGAGATACCCTCTCCAATACTCGGATTGACAAATCCTAATCTTAATCTATGCCAATCCAACAAACACCTTCGGAGACACCTGTAGAGCATCTTTATAATCACCCAGTTACGTTGTGACATTTGATAGCACACAAGGTGTTCCTTCGGTATTCGGGAGTTGCATAATCTCATAGTTAGATGAATATGTATAAGTCATGAAGAAAGCAATAGCAAAAAAACTTAACTATCATTATGCTAAGCTAACAGATGGGTCTTGTCCATCACATCATTCTCTAATGATGTGATCCCGTTCATCAAATGACAACACATGTCTATGGTCAGGAAACTTAACCATCTTTGATTAACGAGCTAGTCAAGTAGAGGCATACTAGGGATACTCTATTTCGTCTATGTATTCACACATGTACTAAGTTTCTAGTTAATACAATTCTAGCATGAATAATAAACATTTATCATCATATAAGGAAATATAAATAACAACTTTATTATTGCCTCTAGGGCATATTTTCTTCAGTCTCTCACTTGCACTAGAGTCAATAATCTATATTACATAGTAATGATTCTAACACCCATGGAGTCTTGGTGCTGATCATGTTTTGCTCGTGGAAGAAGCTTAGTCAACGGGTCTGCAACATTCAGATCCGTATGTATTTTGCAAATCTCTATGTCTCCCTCCTTGACTTGATCGCGGATGGAATTGAAGTGCCTCTTGATGTGTTTGGTTCTCTTGTGAAATCTGGATTCCTTCGCTAAGGCAATTGCTCCAGTATTGTCACAAAAGATTTTTGTTGGACCCGATGCACTAGGTATTACACCTAGATCGGATATGAACTCCTTCATCTAGTCTCCTTCATTTGCTGCTTCCGAAGCAGCTATGTACTCCGCTTCACACGTAGATCCCGCCATGACGCTCTGCTTGGAATTGCACCAACTTACAGCTCCACCATTCAACATAAATACGTATCCGGTTTTTGACTTTGAGTCATCCGGATCAGTGTCAAAGCTTGCATCGACATAACCATTTACGACAAGCTCTCTGTCACCTCCATAAACGAGAAACATATCCTTAGTCCTTTTCAGGTATTTTAGGATGTTCTTGACCATTGTCCAGTGATCCACTCCTGGATTACTTTGGTACCTCCCTGCTAAACTTATAGTAAGGCACACATCAGGTCTGGTACACAACATTGCATACATGATAGAACCTATGGCTAAGGCATAGGAATGACTTTCATTTTCTCTCTATCTTCTGCGGTGGTCGAGCATTGAGTCTGACTCAACTTCACACCTTGTAACACAGGCAAGAACCCTTTCTTTGACTAATCCATTTTGAAATTCTTCAAAACTTTATCAAGTATGTACTTTGTGAAATTCCAATTAAGCGTCTTGATCTATCTCGATAGATCTTGATGCCCAATATATAAGCAGCTTCACCGAGGTCTTTCATTGAAAAATTCTTATTCAAGTATCCTTTTATGCTAGCCAGAAATTCTGTATTATTTCCAATCAACAATATGTCATCCACATATAATATTAAAAATGCTACAGAGATCCCACTCACTTTCTTGTAAATTCAGCCTTCTCCAAAAGTCTGTATAAAACCATGTGCTTTGATCACACTATCAAAGCATATATTCCAACTCCGAGAGGCTTGCACCTGTCCATAAATGGATCGCTGGAGCTTGCACACTTTGTTAACACCTTTAGGATCGACAAAACCTTCTGGTTGCATCGTATTCAACTCTTTTTTAAGAAATCCATTAAGGAATGCAGTTTTGACATCCGTTTGCGAAATTTCATAATCATAAAATGCGGCAAGTGCTAACATGATTCAGACAGACTTAAGCATCGCTACTGGTGAGATGGTCTCATCGTAGCCAACTCGTTGAACTTGTCGAAAACCTTTCGCAACAAGTCGAGCTTTGTAGATAGTAACATTTCCGTCAGCGTCAGTCTTCTTCTTGAAGATCCATTTATTCTCTATGGCTTGCCGATCATCGGGAAAGTCAACCAAAGTCCACACTTTGTTCTCATACATGGATCCCATCTCAGATTTCATGGCCTCAAGCCATTTCGTGGAATCTGGGCTCATCATCGCTTCCTCATAGTTCATAGGTTCGTCATGGTCTAGTAACATGACCTCCAGAACAGGATTACCGTACCACTCTGGTGCGGACCGTACTCTGGTTGACCTATGAGGTTCGGTAGTAACTTGATCCGAAGTTTCATGATCATCATCATTAGCTTCCTCACTAATTGGTGTAGGAATCACTGGAACTGATTTCTATGATGAACTACTTTCCAATTCGGGAGAAGGTACAATTACCTCATCAAGTTCTACTTTCCTCCCACTCACTTCTTTCGAAAGAAACTCCTTCTCTAGAAAGGATCAATTCTTAGCAACGAATATCTTTGTAACACCCTGGATGTAACTTCCCATATTTATAACTCCGACTCTTGCCATTTTCGGCTTTATGTTATGAGATTCCCTTCGTGGTTGGGTTTTTGTCTTCGTTTTGCATTTCATATCATGTCATCATGTGCATCTCAGTTGCATACGTGTTCGTCTCATGCATCCGAGCATTTTCCCCGTTGTCCGTTTCGCAATCCAACACTCTCACATGCACCCGACGCACCCCTTTCTGTCTCTTTTTGTGAGTGGGAGTCAAACGTTCTCGGAATGGGCCGAGATTTGTCAAGTGGCCTTGGTACACCACCGGTAGACCTCCTGTCAAATTTTGTTCCATTTGGAGGCCGTTTGATGCCCCAACGGTTAACCGGGTAACCGTAAAAGCCTCTTAGTGTTGCAGCCCAACACCCCTCCAAAACAGCCCAATTACCCATCTAAACCACCTCCATGTTCTCCATCGTCGGATCACGACCGTGTGGGCGAAAACCGCATCTCATTTAGACACTCCTACCTGCATCTACCTATAAATATGTGCCCCTCCCCGAAAATTCGCGGATTAAACCCAGCCATCTCCCCTCCGCGCTGCAGGACACGTCCGACCATCACCGGATGAAACCCGCCACCGCGCCCGCACCAGTAGGAAGCCGCCATGTGTCCTCCGCCCCGCCTCATGCCGCCAGCCCACCAGGCACGATGCAGGCCCTAGAAGCCCGCGCGGTGCTCGCGCCTCCCCGCGCCGGTCAACGCTCGCAGGCCGCTCGCCGCGCCGCCGCTCGGCTTGCCCGCGCCGCCCGGATCCGCCGGCGCCAGCGACCACCGCAGCTCTGACCTCCTTCCCCTGCTCCAGTCATCTCCTTCCTCCTCTCCGGCCAAGTACCGCGACTCCCCGATGAACCTCGACATCCGCGCCCTCAAACC